CCCCAGATTCTCAGTGGAACTCATAACTGGCATTTATTCCTTACTTCCTGCAGGGAAAGAAAAAAAAAACTTTTTTTTCCTGGCATTCTCTTGGCAATGAGTCCAGTTAAGCACTTAGGTTTTCTGTGGGAACCTGGAATGATACTATAATCAGGTGCATTGTGGGTATGAAAAATGGTGGGTAGACTCAGAAACCTGATTCTGAATGCTCGGAGGACAGTACTTGCTGCCAGCTAAGCACACTGGTTGCGTCATGTAGTTCTTTGTCTCCTTAAAGCTGGAATTGGTGCCCGTCCCTCACACTAAATTTCTCTCATCTTGAATATGGACCGGACCTCCATGGTAGAACAGATTATTTCAATCCGGAGAGTCCAATTTCTGGTATCTTCTGGAAGGGCTAGAAAGACTGAGATGTGACAGGGTTACCTCAAGATACTTTGCTGCAACAAGCCATAGGGCAACTCTCCTTTGTCTTCTTGCCCTCTGCTGCGGCAAAGCAGATTCAATATTTGACTGATTTGGCAGTTGAATCTCCCTTTAATAGAACTGTATCATGAGCTACATGTGAAAGGAGAAAGCAAGTTTAGGAGACATAGGGCATTCCATGTGGCATACAGTTCCTTCTCCCAGCATCTTAGCATGTCACCCAGCATATGCCCCCTGAAGCAGCTGTCTTACTTTGCTTTGTGGTAGGGCTATCTCTGAGTCCTGAAGTCCCACCATCATTCAGGTAGAGTAGCCTTCCCAACTGGGTGCTTGCTAGACATGTCAGGTTGGCTGGGAATGTTGGGAATTGGAGTTCTGCCATTGTTTAGAGCATTAGATGGGTAGCGTTAAATGTGATGGATATAAATTCAAAGTTGTGTCTTATGTTCACCAATTACCACCTGCCATAATGCTTTATCACCAAGGTTGCCTTTTCCCCCCCTTTCAGTTGCTCCAAAAGTGTGATCTGTCGCCATTAACTGGTATATTTTCTTAAATAACCTTGAAATGATTGAATCTGAAAACAAGTGGATGGCTATACAAGCTTCTGGTTGGATTCCACGCATTGCATTGAGCCAACATGTGACTGGTTTTCATTTATATGTGAGTCAGCCATTTGACTTAATATCAAGTGTGAACCCATCCATTGAGGCTTACTCCTCCCCAAATTTAAAACAAAATCATAGCTTTGCATGATGTGTCATTCTAGGCAGTGAACTGTGTAAATTAGCATGTTAGAAGTTAAAGCAAGAGGAATGTCACTCGCCACTTTAAATTGCATTGCAATGAAGTGTCTTCCTCATCCTAAACGTTATAGTCCTAAACATAGGGATCAAATAAGCACTGAGCTTGGAAGCAACCTATCCACGTGTCACATTTTGCAATATATAATGTATTTGTTAGGAAGATTCTTCTTCAGCCCCATGGTTTTGGGGAGGGCAAGCTGTTCTTTTCCAGTTCCCCCATTGCAACTTACTGCCCCCATGCTAAATATTCCATCTTTCTCTATGGCTGCAGGCGAAGGCAGTGACGTGATGTTCCTCAGATTCAGTGTGGGAGGTTGAATAAGGGCCTTCAATGCTCCCCTTGCTGTTCAGGATCAAGGCGGGGTAGGGGGGTCCTTCCTGAATCAATGCTCCATTCATCCACTTGGCGTCATAGCAAGGGTGAGAGGTGGGAGGGAGAGATGGAATGCAAAGGCAAAGTGTGCCAGGAGTTACGGAGGTGCCCTTTGGTTGGGGATCATGAGACAAAATATGTTGCCAGCCTGTGCTGGTTGGGAAGGAAGTTTTGTGCAGAATGCCCCATTCATTGTTTTCTTCTTCGCCTTGTTATGGTGGATGGTGTATACCCACTGGTCTACTGATAAACATCATTAATGGATGGGCCATCAATACTGCCTACTACCATATTCTCTCTACAAGATTCTCTGGTGTCTACAAAGGATTTTGAGCCCCACCTGTAAGGTAGAAGGAGGAAAGTAAAAGTGTGCTTTGCTCAGAGAGCACAGAACATCCCTGCATGTAGGTAGGCACAAGCAAAAAAGGTTCTAAGGTTTCCTGATGCTAGATGGGTGCTTTTATTCTGTACTGGGCTAAATTTTAAAGTAGATTAATCCTGGTTCATCTTGGCAGACAAAACTGGATCATTCCAAGAAGGGCATTTTCTATCCAAGGAAATTTGCAGGGTTAGTTTTAAAAGAAAGGAGGAGTAAACAAGGGATGACAGGTTTGAATTGTGTCATGTCTGTTCCATGTAGCATGATGGAGATACTGTTTGCTGTTAAAAAAGTAATGAATTAAACTTACAGTGATTCTGAGAGAATGGTTTTCTGAATTCAGACAGGTCAGAGAGATGTTCACTATGAAAAGTCACAGTTCAAGGGAACTGGAAAATCTTAAAAGGAGTGACAGAAGCAAGTATATCATTTGGTCTGCTTCTGGATCTGATCTCACTCTGGTTTCCCAGGTTGATGCAGTGGCCATGAAGTCCCTTTATCAACTTCAGTTGATGCGCCAACTGTGTCTCTACTTGGAAGAAAATAACTTCTAGTTTTGGGATCTTTTTAGACTTCATTAATGAATGGGCCATCAGTACTGCCTACTACTATCTCTTTGCTCAGGTCTCTTTTCTCAGTACTTGATACAGGTAGTCCTTGTTTAGCAACTGCCCTGTTTAGTGACCACAGTGATGAAGGTGATGACAAAGAACTTTACGACTAACCCTCACATTTACAATCTTCACAGGTCTGTAAAGCAAAGGAAAGCTGAAGTAAGATCATAAGCACAGTCTCAGTTTTACTTAGTGACTGCTTTGCTTAACAACCAAGTTGCCCATCCTGATTGTGGTCACTAAATGAGGACTACCTGTATTGAATTGATTTAATTCATATTGGTTGTATGGAAATACTGTATTTTTACAGGATTTTTAAAGCATATTTTATATTTTACACTGGAGGTGTGACACTGCGGGGGGGCAAAGGCTGCCCTTGGTCTTTAAGTGGTATCATCGGACGGGGGGCGCCCTCCAAAAATTGGGCAGGACAGGACAAAGTTTTACATTTGGCAAAGACAAAAGTTTGATTTCAGTGTTAATGTAATTAAAAAAATTAATTCGATACAGTTAGATTACTTCTTATGTATTTAATAATTCTTTCACATTAAAATTTACATTTCGATACAAGTTTCAGAGGGTCACATGCGGTACTCCATTTACCACTTTGGGATCCATTAATCATTAAAGTTTTTTAAAAATGTAGATACAATTTGCAGCAACAGCATTCCTGTTCAATAGACAGAAGCCATGGTGTTTGAGAATTGTTGTAATTGCAGCCTAGTAGACCTGCAGGGTGTCAGGTAAAGCACAGTTGTGCTCAGCAAAGTATGAATTATGCATGGAAATCAACAATGACAAAGAGTGTCATTGGTAACGGAGGAGCAGGAAGTTCAAAATGCCACTTAAGTGTGAATCAGAACTGGCCTGCGAGAGTTAAAATCTCAGATCCTTAGAAATGTGGAGGTTCCGGTGTTTAACAACAAAGGGGACAACTAACCACAGAATCCTGCTGGCAAGAAAAGAGATGGAATTTCCCATCTCCAAGTCGATACTGTCTGGAAAGAGATGCCAGACACAAGCAGGTGGGTTTGATCCAAAAATAACTAGAGGGAATTACTGGCTGGGGGCTAAATGGGGGAGCAAGTTTTATAGTTTCAATACTCCATTTTGAGTTTCAGCTCCATTTAAAAGAAAAAGAAAAGATAAATGGGGCATGCAAAAACTCCTATAAATATATAGATGCAGGAATGAACTAAAAGATTTGAATTGTTTGTACCTCTTTCTGCTTTTAAGAACTTTTAATTCTGTGCCCCCCTTTCAAATTCTGTTCTCAACATAAATTAGGGAAAGACAACAAAACAAGTTAATACAGATTTTATTTAAGTTTGACTGATATGAGGTTCTTTGTTTCTTGAAGACTATGTTGTAAATGTGAAGAAAATGGTTCAGAAACATAAATTGTGGGGAGGGGATGGAAATGAAGGAGAGGTTTGTGGGGTAGAAGTAAAGATTTAGCAGGGAACAATGTTTTTCCTATTTGGTGTGTTATGATTAACAGAACTAAAGAACTTTAACTAAAGCAGGCAAGGGCTTTGTTAACAAAATGATCTAACAACAAAATATGTTAGCAAATCTGGCCTGCATATTTTCCACAATAATTCCACCAACACAAAGGATAGCATTATATTTCTTTACTGAATATGCATTTCCTCTGAATTTTTGGAAAAATGGCTAATAAGAAGAATACCTAGAAAAATTACTCATTCCTTTAAACATAATTTATCTTGGGACTTAAAAAAAACAGAAAGAACAGAAACAAGAATGCTGATATGCTCAGGCATTGAATTTTGGGTGGAATTCAGGATGACGAAGCTCTGATTACAGATATCATAAGCCAGTTTTGTGTTTAAGCGTTATTCTGGTTGCCATAGGTGACAAAAGAATTCCAGGCAGATCAATTATCAGGCTGATGGAACAAGGTTGCTTGCTGTTCTCCATTTGTGGTCTGAAGTTAGCATAGAAACTTGTGATTCATTGGAGAAATTCCGCAAGAAACCCTGAACTTTAGATCTGTCTGATCCCAATTGGCCAATAAATTCTTTTGCAGATTTGTAACTTTCATGTACAAGGCTGCTATGAGAAGTGAGATTCATATTTCCTTTTGCATGTGAAGTAGGCCACTGTGGTTTGTTTGACAAACCTGGATTAGGACAATATAGTATGCTGGACAAAGACCACATAAACTTTTGTAAAGAGATGGGAAAAGAAATGAGGATTAAAGAATTGACCAAATATGAATTGATCAATTGACTGGTTGGGGTTAAATTTGATACCTTTTGAAAAGCAGAAAATATATGCTCTATCTTTTTCCAAACCAATTGTTTCAAATGGGGGGTCTAGTACTTGTGAGTCCCCCTAAAGCATCACGTTTATAACATAAGTCTTCTGATCTTTTTCAGATTAACATCGGGTTCGTAGGAGACCATGTCAGAAGGGGACCGACCTAGAAGTGGTCTGAGCATAGCCAGCAGCACAGCCACCATCTCTTCGGTCTCCATGGGAACAAAGGTGAGGATCTGGAATTGATGGGAATCTTATAAACGAGACACAAAAAGACGTCAATGTTCTATTTTTTTTTCCTGAGCCTTGTTGGGTTATCACTCAGTTTTATTTTCAAAGAACTTCAAAGTAATTGGTTACCTCATGGGTTGAAAACTTGCGCTTTTAAAAAATATAATAGAGCCCCATTCCAAGAAAGGAGGAAAACTCTAAAACCTTGCGTAATGATTACTAATCCTCAAGCATTTACTCTTGTCCTCATGTACCTGCATTAGCCGTTTGTGGTATCTTGATGGTTTGAAAAGAAAATCTCGGCTTGTGACCTTCAGTTCCTTTAGAAAGATAAAGCACTTTTCAAGGCATAAGGCCATAATATAGTAGTCCCATATGTACTCAGGTAAAATTTTAGTGGTTTAAAAATCTGATTTAAAGTTTATAATATATTAATAGCAACTAACATGTCCATTACTTACATTGAGAAGCGGGAAGCTCCCTTTGGGGGTAAGCAACATTATACAGAGCACAGAAAAAAAGTTAAAAGTAGTAAGTAAAAGACATTGGAGGCAGAAAATGAAGGAAAACAAAAATGTCCTACAATGACTCACTTTTATATTCATTCATTCATTCGTTCATTCATCACTCACTCACTCTTCATTCTGTTGATTTTACCACATTCCCACTGTTTCAATTTATGTTTGCTTTTCTCCTGACTTACACAGCTCTGACTTCAGTGTAACAAAGTGGACAGGTGCACATTCTTTTCACTTCTTTCAATAAATATATACTCTACCCTCTGTGTTCCTACTAGCATTTGCATTTCTTACATTTTCCCCATCTATTCATTTTCTAATCTTTAGTAAATGTTCTGTAAAGATATACAATATACAAATCCATCTACTTGTTCTAGTTTTTTTTTGCCATTTGTGTATAATTTGTGGTTGTTCACTCCATTTTCCTTTTTTTTAAATAATTTTATTAAAGATTATAATTGTAATAGTAAAAACTAACACAAACTAAATGCTAATTAAAAAAGAGTAGAAAGAAAGAGTAAAAAGTGCAAAGAAAAAGAAAAAAGTAGAGAATAGAAAGAAAAGAAAGAAAAGTAAGAATATAGTAAAAAACAAGAAAAATATATAAAGAAGTGACTTTCAACTTTCATCACAAGTATAAACAATTTTAGTAACTTTTCACCTCCTCTTAATTTACAGCCAATGATCTCTTCATTCCATGTCCCATCTCTTATCTATAAACAAATCCATAAAGCTTCATCATTTCAGTCCTGATGTCATAAAAAGTCCATTAATGGTTGCCAGAAATAACATCTATTTTAACCTTGATCAAATAAACCAACTTTATATTCCTTCCTTTTACTTCTAACAAT